TGTGCAGTCATATGTCACTTAAGGAGGGGGATGTGTTCTGAGAAATGCATCATTAGGGGATATCATCATTGTGTGAACATGATAGAGTGTACTTACACAAACTTAGATGCTATAGCCTACTATACACGGAGGCTATATGCTACTAATCTTATGGGGCCACTGTTGTATAAGCAGTCAGTCACTGACTGCAACTTTATTATGTGGCTCGACTATATAATAGAAATAAGTATAAGTAGGAAAAAGATATAAGTAGGCATTTTGCACAAAGGACACATGCATGGCTAAAACCAGTCAAGAAAAATGCATAACCTCACTATTAATCAAGGAAATTGTATGATAACAGCAATTAAATCTAGTGAGTAAATAGTAGTTGTGGGAGATGTGAAACAATAGGAAATCCATAAAATTGCTAGCAGCTGTTTAAGATAGAATGACCACTTTAAACAGCAATTTAGTAATATCTGAACGAAGAAATTTCTCTCCTGAGCATATCACCTCGGGTCAAATAGTTCCACTCCTGGGTATATACCTTATAGAATATCTTGCATATGTGTATTAGAAGATAACGAGCAATAATTTTCAGTGCAGAGTTTTTTTGTAGTAGCAAAAACATTAGAAACAATTGAAATGTCCAACAAATGCAGAATGAACAAGTGCATTATGGAATACTTATTGAAATGAAGTGAATAAAATAGTCTAAGCACACAAGCATGGATTATCTCAAAAAAACATACAGTTGAACGAAAGAACTGTTGCACATGGATACTACACTATGGCCATTTTGTTTATATTTTCCTATATGCAGAATGGAATTTTATGTCTTAAAATCAAATTCAGGAATAAAACTTCTTTTGGGAAAGCAGGGAAGTGGTGCTTTGGGCAAGAGCACACAGTTAACTTCAATTTATTTATAATGTTTAATTGCTTAAGACGGTGATAGGTGCATGAGTGTTACTTATATTATTCCCTCTGCATTTTTGCATAGATAATAACTTTGATAAAAATATACTCAGAAAGAAGGATGTGTAGGAGTTTAAAGATCCTGTTAAGAATATGTAAATGGACACTATCAAGTTTTTTGCCATATTGGCTTAGGTTTCTCTTGAGAATCTAACTATCCAGTGATTCACAGTAGCATCTACATGTGCATGATTATTGTTGTAACTAAAATGTGAGCCTATAATTTGTGTGGAAAATTGAAAAGCTGTACAGTTTGACAATTCTCTGACATTACGGTAGACCCTCAGATACTCTCTCCAAGCCCACCATGAATCTCTGTATACAGGCACTTGAAAAGTGTAACTATATCAAAATGTCTCATCTTTCCTGTTTTTATTTTATAAAAATAAGTTATTCTATGGGCACTGGTGAAAAGTAATGGTTCAATGAGTAAATATTGACTTAAGGCACACAGCAGAGCAATTCTCTAACTCTCTAACATATGTGTGACAAGATGGAGAACCATCTGTTTTCTGAAGATAGGAACTTAAGCCAATATATCCATTTTGAAATATTGCTATATATACACACCCAAATTACTGCATAGGTATATATGAGTTTTAAGAAAAAAAGCTCAATTTATGAATGCTTTCATCCTAGCATATAAGCCCTATGCACAACTCATCACAGGTTTCCAGGAGTAATGCTTCACTTAAGAGTAACTTAATGTGGAGATCTTAAGCTTCATTTCATATAAACAATCACGAACTCTTTTTCTCACCACAAGTTTAAAAGACAGGATAAACATCTTTCTCTCACCAAGCTCATGTTGCAAAATTGGAAAGAGAATGACGCTAATGATGGTAAACCAGTTTTATTTTTAATTTAGTTGTTTAAGAACTGTGATTTCCAACAGTTAAATCATTGTCTACTTAAGAAGAATGTGAACTTGGACTAATGGAGACTGAACAAATCCTTAGAGAATCTCATCATATGTAATGACACATGAGTCAAATGTGAGGGAAATAGGAAAGTTTAGAATTTCCATAAAATTTACAGAAAAAAATCTGATGCCTATATGTCAAGAATAATAAATTTGTACTCAAGTGACAGTGGTTGACACTACATTAAGTTAATGAGACAAACATTGGGAAAGATGAGTTTGAGTTAAAAAGAAATTTAAGTTTAAGCTATTGGAAAATTGCACATAAATATAAAAAAAATGGGTTCAAAAAAGATGCAAAATATATTAAAGATTTGAGTTAATTTTCAAAAAGTGGCTAAAAGAGGAGAATATCTGCTGGAGAAATTTTCTCAAGAATCAAATAATTACCTCAAATGAGCCAAAAGCTGTATTTTAAAATGGGGAGAGATATAATAGATTAGAGACTAGACCGGCAGAGGAAACTTAATCTATTTGGTCAGTAAAGATATTAAAGACAGTTAAGATCTTTGTTAAGCAAGGATGTATAGATTGGGAGAGTTATTTAGTTTTATTTTAGCTATGAGTTCTCGGATGCAAAGATATTCATTAATGATTACAGGTAATTTGAAATTCTGTCCTCTCTGTTTCAGTACATTGTCTTAGTTGAATTAGGTTATTTGTATTATAAGAACAAGAGTAAAATGTATTAGTATAAGAAATGTGAATGTTTAAAAAGTATGTTAATACTTTTATGAAAGTAAATTAATTCAAACAATATTATGGCAAATGAAGCAATAGGATAAAGTTTAGTTGCAGAGCTGTGATGGTGGAAACTACAAATAAAAAACGTCAGCTTAACCAAGTGGTAGCTAAATATTTTACGATTCTTAAGATAAAAATAATAAGTTCTAACTTTCTCTATTTCTGTGTAGATGGACACTATATTGCACCTATTATATCTGACACCATTAAATATTTTACAAATATTGAATCTGATTATGTAAATAGAAATAATGTAACATGTTTAGGAGTTTAGAAGACTAAAAAGAAAGATGCTAAGCTGCATGTAGTTAATTTTATAATACTTAACCTCTGGGGTGTTTGATTAATGTTTTTTGCTGCTGCTTGTGACTCTGAAGAGGAAAGTGATAGATGCTAAAGAAGATTCTGAAGGGAATTCATGATGATGGAATATGTAGGAATGGAAAGGGTTTCTATACTAGAGAAGGGAAATAAAACTGAGTAAGAGTCGCTGTGAGACTGTCTTTGCAATATTCTACAAGCTTTTTGTACAATATTATTCTATAAAGGAAATCTGTCTAAAATTATTAACGGTAAGAAATTTAGCTGGGGTAGTCTTCTAGATTGTGTGTGACAACCATATTGTGGTAGACTGATGAATTATGCCATAAAAAGCAGAGATCTTCAGGAAACTGACATGGTTTGAGGTTTTATTAAAAAGGCAATCTAGCCATGTCTTCTCTTTTTTCTAACTCCCTTCCTCCACCCCATAAAGACATGTAAGGCCATAAACCTTTCCAATTACTGCAGTTGAAAGTATTTCGTGGAAATGATCTTGCAAACTAGAAAGTATAAGCCTATTTCCAGGTTTCTAGGATTGTATAGTGTGTATATTAGTAATTAAAATGAGAAAGTTGCCGGGGCTAGGAATACAACTTGGGAAGTCTTAATAGAAAAAATCCAGCAGAGATTCCTTCCTCTTTAAATATGATTTGGACTGGATATATACAAATGCAGGATATAAATCAGGACCAGATATTCAGCCAGAATCCAGAATATATCAACGTCTGAAACTAGAGTATGGTCAGAATTGCACCAGAACCACACAGCTCTCACGCTAGCAAATTGTACGCGGGCTCTGTGTTTACACACGTATACACAAACTCATGTTAATTTATATACTGTAGTTAAGATAATTCTATATTATGCCCAAATATGTGAGTTCACTTCTTCTCTACTGATGCTTTTATTGTAATTACATTATACTGAGTTTGAGCAAAGCCACAGAGATGATGCTAAATCAGTAAATATTGCATATATGAGAGAAACAGCATTTAAAAATAATAGTGCCTGAATAAAGTTTCTTCCTGTTGAGATAGATCCTCCATATACACACACATGCGCACCCACAACTCTACATACACCTCCACATAATATTTTGCATATTGGATTATATTTCCTTAGAAAATTTGATATCAAGTCATTCTGAAATATATAAAATGAGCATAATTCTCTACTTAATAAAGCTTTTGGAAGCTAATAAATTTTTAAGTATTTCATATCCTATATTAGCTAAAATCAGCTTTGAAAGTTAATGCAAATTATACTTGCTAAATTTAGGAATGGAGTATAATTCTAGGTAATTTAAGAATGACAATAAAAGTTTCAATTGAAAAAAATCTTTGCTTGCTAGACAATTTTACAGATATTTGGTGGTTCATGTGCCTATCTTTGTGTTTTCTCTTACCTAAAGTGCACAAGAAAAGCTAGAGAGCAAAGAAGAGACACAACATGACCTTCAGAGAAAGTGATACAATTCAAAACAGAATAAATTTGGTCTATAATGATGATATTTTTGGCTTTAATAGCTTGATTATATAAAATATTCTCAATTACATGGTCTCTGTTCAGTGTGTTTAGTTAATAAGGAATACACTATAATTTACAAAACATTTATGATGTTTGAGCAAATATATTCATTTGGAAAAGTAATCAAATAGAATACTTAACATAATATTATAAACATAAATATAAAGAATAATTAAACATGAAATGATTTACTTTTATACTTACATCACGCTATTAAAAAGCATTGAAAAGAAATAAATAGTTTTTATGGTAAAATTTTAGTTTTAATTTGAGATTTAATATTTAATGACTGAAATGGGAAAAATCAATCTTATTTTCACTTACATTTATTTTCTAATATTCCATCTCTAAATGAAACATTATTACCTGCAATTGATTGCAATTTAATTATACTATAAATTTTATCTTTTAAAATCTCATTATGTTAATTTTGGCTTTAAATTACATAACGTTAGCAGGAAAATTGCCTTTAATGTAATTATAAATTACTCTGGTGTGAAACTTGTCACAAAGTAAACATGCCTACCATTGTCGTCTCGGCGATAGAGCCAAAGCTGTTTATGAATATATTGCATGTGACATTAACTGGAGGGCCTGAAAAAGAGATTAAAACATAAGGGATATTTAGATACTTACGTAAATATTTTCAAATAACTTCTCATTAGTAGTTTTTAAAAAAAGAATAGTTTTTAATACATATATACACATAGATGCTTAAAATTGAAGGCAATCATTCTGTGAAATAATCTGGATTGCAAAGCACAAATTCATGGCCTCCTTTGAGCCCTGACGCTGGCCATGATATAAGTCAGTAACCTCTTGGTCTCGGTTTCCTTGATCTAGATACCGCCAATGGCTCTGTAAATGTCTGCTTGAGTAAGTCCAACCTCTGAGCTTCTACATGGGGTTTCTGTTGAGTCTCCCCTTCCCCCAGTGTATGGGTCATATTTCCCTGCTTCTTTGTATGTCACATAATTTTTGGTTGAAAATTGGATACTTTAGATAATATGATGTGGCAACTCTGGAAATCAGACTCCCACTTCCAACCCATAGTTTGTTGCTGGTGTTTTTTATTTTATTTGCTGTTCAGTGACTTGGAATAATACCGTAAAGTCTGTATTTCCCTATGGTGTGCAGCCACTGAAGTCTCTGCTCAATGAGTTTAGTGGTCAACTAATGATTGCTCAGAGATTTCTGAAATGTCTGGAACCAATAATTCTTCCATCCTTTGCCAAGGGACTTCATGTTTGTTTTGCCTGTAATGCTCATGCTTCACCTTTCACTTCCTGCTTGCACAGGGTCTGAGGTCAGTCAGAGGTGAGAGATTGGGGCCCTCCTAGGACTTTCCTGGGCAAGCACAATGGCCCTACACATGCGTGTAGCCTCCAGATCCACAAGAATATATCAGAACTTTCCAAAGCTGCCTATGGGCATCTCATTCCCCAGATTTTCTTTTAAACTTTTTGTTCAGGCTGGTCCTTGCTCAACTGGTATCGTAACTTTAGGCAGCTTCAGTGTTAACCAATTTCCTGTGATCATTTACAACAAATGCCCTGGAGATAGGGTTTTCCCACTGAGGGAGTTCTCAGTCAAAGTCAAATCATGACAAGCCCTCTGAGTGGGACTCTGAGGGAGTGGGCCAGAGAGGTCAAGCAGTAACATTGCTCTGGGGATGGAATTTCTGAGGCGCAAACTGGTCTGCCTCCTCTGATAGTTGCGAGGCTGCTGGATTTTACAGTTTTTTCTGGTTGAGAAGCTGCTGGTTTTCAAGGTTTAACTGTGGAGCTGGGGAGTGCGGCTGTGTTTAAACGCCCTCAGTTCTTAGAAAAATTCATCAGTGTTTCTTGAATAAACTCTCTTCAGTTTGTTGCAAGCTTTTGGTTAATTTTCAGAGTTCTGAAGGTTAAGTTTTATAATTTCCCTGGTGTTTTTATTGCTTTTTTGGAGGAGTGAATTTACAGAGTTTTTCACTCTACCATTCCAGAAATCCCCTGTTTAAGTGCCTGATTTAGCATGCATCATAAAACAAAGGATTTCTATCTTTATGAGGCCCATTTCTTCATTCCTTTACTAAATATCTAAAGCCTATTCACACCAAATGGAAGAAGATACAAAGAGATTATCATCTAGCAAGGCAGAAGGAATAAGAATCAGTAAACTGTTGAGTACTGCTTGTTACCATGTACTGTGCTTTCTGGTTCAGATACTACTTAATCCTTATAACACTGAGAGTGAATAAGATTCTACCATTTACATATTAGGGAATTGAAGATCTGAGGGGATACATAAGATGTTAATAAATAGGACAGTCAGAATTTGAACCTCTGGTCTGATTCTAAGAATCATTCTCTTCTCACCATAGCAAGCTGTTCCCTCGTCTTCTTCACACTACACAACATTCAAAGCATTTCACTATCTGGCTACAGACTTTGTTATTAGGCTGATATCTGTATAAATATAAAACACAAATACTGAGTGGCAGGGGTTAAAGTAATTCTGAGTTAAACTCTACCTAAGTTAGTCAGACAAAGCCACACAAAAACTGCTATCTAAGCCTAATTTATTTTGTTTCTTTTTTTCACCTGAACATAATTAGGAGTAACAGTTTTCCAGGATTTGCTACAGAAAAGACAGCAGCCCTTGCCCTACACTGCCGTGTCCCCCTCACGAGAGATAATGACTTCAACTCATTTAATAGATTCTCTGGGTATTAACCTCAGTTTCTCTAAATAGTAAGTTCATTTTTCAGCTTTTAGATGTTTTAGTTTTAGGCATATGTTTGATGCCCATGCCGAAGGAGAGGATTTAGCTTTTTTTTCACACATTGTCCCCACTTCTACTAACATAAACCTTTTTTCTGTCCCCCCATTATCTAAATATCGTTAAATTGTCATTGTTGTTAGGTCAGTATTTACTTTTTACATTATTATGACAAGGTAAATATTACCTCCAGCTGTATAATATACTAAGATTACTTTTCCTTTCCTGCAGAATATTTTCTTGAAGTTGAAAACTGGTTCATATATTTCACATAGTTTCCTCTGTATGTATCAAGAACTTATCCACAAGTTCTGAAATGCCTATGTTTCAATATCAGACTCAACAGATATTCTACTAACTTTATCTTCCTTCAGACTTACTCTATTCTAGATTTTTCACTCTGGAGCATAACAGTCATCTATGGTCTCCCATAATCATCATACTGGGGATTACCTACATCTCTCTCTTTTGTGGGATCTCCTTTCATAGTCCCCACACCTGCTTTTCTGGCTTATTTCTTTATTTTAGCAGTGGATATCTTTCAGCAATTCTTTGAGAAACGGTACATAAGGATGTGAAGCCTTTGAGAACTTGCTTGTTCACAAATGTCCTTTTTTTATGCCCTCACACTCCATTAACATCCAGACTTTGTACAAAATTTTAGGCTGAAAATTGTATTTTCTTCTGAATTTTAAAGACATTTCTCCATTATGTTCTTTTTTCTAGTATTGCTGTTGAACAGTCCAAAGCCATTCTGATTCTTGACCCTTTGTAAAGATAAAAAAGATGTTCTCTTTGTACCAATATATTTTTTTTTAAAAAAAAAACTACTACATTGGTTAGAATAGTTTAAAATGCCATTTGAAGTCTCAGTTTACATTTACTTGATTACTGGTGCACAATTTTCATCTTTGTTTTTCTACTCAATTTCTGACAGGTATTTATCTTGCTGGAATAAGACAGAGAAATAAACCAACAAAATTACTTAAAAATAAAGTCTAGGATCCACAGGCTTATGGAATCCTATGCACTTTGAAATCATCTGGGGAGTTTGAAAAAGGTTGATACCTGGTTCTTACCTTCTACTTTGGTTTGTATGGCATGCAACCAAGCTATAGGTATTTTTTAAAGGTCCCTAGGTGATTCAGATGTGCAACAATGTTGGAAACCACTGGCCTAAGGAATTCCAGACTAGGAAACATCTGTGGCCATTATACCATAGGGCTCAAAATGAACTGGAGTTTTATTAGAAACGGAGAAATAGAGAGAGAGCACTCAGGACTTAGAGCATTGAAAATGCAAGACTATTAATTTTAACAAGAAAGTCGCCTCTTATGATTTGGTCAACACTACCAATAAAACATAGTAGATGCTATGTACTTAGAAGATCCCAAAGTCTACAGAGCAAGAGATGCCTAGAACATAAAATTCAAACAGATATAGAAGCTAAATTGTTTTAAAAATGGAGGATGAACATGCAAAAGTAAGAAGACCTCATAAAAATCCTGAATCCTGGAGGTGCTCTAATTCTTTGATTACTAGTGAAAAGGTTTTTTAAAATCTTTATTGATTATTTCCAAATATTTACAAATTTTTTAAATGTATAAGATGATAGCGGTGTCTTATATGTCACTACGTGAGAGAGGAGAAAGCATGGATATTTTACTCCATGATTATTTTATCCCATCATAAGAGAAGTATAAAGTCATAATTGTTACATATTTTTTTTTAACTTCAAGTAAGTCTGAGGTGGTGAACTCTAAAATATACACAAAATATATACACAGGCTGACAAATCTGGAAAAGCTAAATCCAATCTTTCACATTTTTTAGGTTATTCTTCTCTTTTTTCTAGAGAACACTGAAATGCTGCTATTTTCTTTCATGGTGACAGTAATACGAGTCTGGGGAATATGATTTAGCTCGAGGAAAATTCTGCTGTGCGTTATTGCCTCACACCCTCTGAAAGAGGGAAAACACAAGAGCTTTAGGATTGGGATAATTCATCTTCCAATGAAATGCTGAGAGAGGTGGCTCCATGTTGGGACAACATGGCTCTGCGTGAATCTACTAATAGAAGACTGCCTGCTCCATCTGACTGTGCTCTCTTTGCCTGAAATTGGAATAAATAAAACATGGGGGGGATTATTTTTCTCATTTTATTTTAGCAAGGAGCCGGGTCTTTATTTTTTGGACTCTAATTTCTCCATGGGCATTGAATAAAAGGTAAGGCATTATATTTTTTGTTCTCATCTTTTAAATATCACCCACTAAATTGTAGGTAATAGTGCTGACAAATAGAATGAAGGTGAAAATTCAGGATAGCCTTCAGGGGCCTGAAGTTAGTAGCATCTGTTCTGATGCATTTCAGTGTCCCTTGGGAGTAGGCCCTGCATTGCACATCCTAATGATTCCAGGAAGCTTCTGAAAGGAGTAGTATTAAGCACTCTGTTAGGAGGAGGACTGCTCTGATATATTTGTTGTCTCCCTAAAATGTGGCACTGGCATCCCAAGTTGATCAGAGGCTAACAGTGAGGTCAATGAATAAAATAAGGAAAATAGTATGTTTCCATAGAGGAGAAATGGTCAAAGGAGAAGTGACTAATTTAAGCTTTCACTCATAGTTGGCAACGTGATGCCTCACAGTAGATGAAACAGGTTCTAGCCCTTACACTCCACCAGGCCTCCAATGAGATGCACAAAGCTCTTCCTAAAAGCAGAAAGTCAACCTGGCTTTAGATCTAAATTTCATGTGGTAATAAAGTGAATCTCAGTGATCTCGGGTCTAAGCTTTATTGTTTAATTGATCAATTACCAGACGTGTTCCTTGCCTG